TTTCTTCACAAAATGGCATGTTTTCAATGCAGATGACTTCTAAATTTATTCACCTTTCCATTCGTACTGTAAGATTTGATAAAGAGAAATAAATTGTTGAGATATTGTTAAAAATCTAATACTGCTGCTTGACCCCAAACTCGGCCCACGGATTCTAAATTCAGCCATTGAATTCCCTTCGGCCTATGGGATGAAGATAAAAATTGATTCGGTCCGAGCGCTTCTCTTGTTTTTGACAATAATGGGTGCAAACATTCATATCACGCGTTCTCATTGACTTCGTTTGGTAACTAAAGTAACGTATCAACCGCAGAATTGACTTGTTAACTTTGAAATCATGGTCTTATTTGATGTTTTCTGCCCGATAGGCCAAAATACAAAGGGCAACGAGAATGTCGTTAACAAAATAAATGGTGTCTCTGATTATCGTTACATGTACGAAGGCGTTTCGTACAATCACGAATTTAGTTTTTATTTCACACAGATTAATTAAATCAATCATTTTTGCCCACCACAATAATTGATCAGGAAAAAAGTAAACTTATACCAAAGGTCCAGTTGAATCAATTCACCAGTCGCCAGCCGCTATTTTGTGGAGGATGATTTCCATCCAGTAGCACCATACCGTTTCTTATAGAAATACCATCTTCAACATCAACTTGACGATCCCACCTTCATGGACGGCTGTCAAACAAATTTCTCATATCCATATGCATTCACATCAGCATCATTCGCTTTAAAAATCAGCATAACAGCAAGAAATCAGCAGCAACAGAGACCTTTCAAACACAACGCATCACCGCCATTAGCAACAGGAGCAATAAAAATATCAATGGGCACCTTGGAAGATAATAAAAGCAGCACACAGTTCGAAAAGTAGTGTAAATTTCTGTTCAGTATGATGCACATAAATGGAGCGTCACATATCATATAAGTTTACATTATATATCATGTAAAGTTTTGAGAAATTTCATGCAATGAAGCAAATATTGTATACAAAAGCCCATTGTTGTAAACAACATTGTTTACAAGTTGCTCGGTTGCGTGAAATGAAATGCAAGCTTACGTGAATTAATGTTTACATCACTATTAAAATTCAGTATTTTTATCTGTGCAGTTTTCAAGTCCTTAAGACATTCAGTTTGCGTGGTGAATTATTAGCATTTTGCCCGATGATGGACAGTACGAATAGGGTTAACTACCCCATTCCCGGCCTATTAAGCACAACCAACACTTAGTATTTCTTAATCTAACTTAGTTTAGCACCAAACGGAATGTTATTATTACAGATGGCTTCCAAATTTATTTACCTTTCCATATGTACCGTTAGTTCTGATAAGGGGTCGCGAAATATTCGTTTATTGTTGAAAATGCAAAACTGATTCTGGCGGCTCAACTTGGCTTACGGGTTTTCTTGGGCCTATTAGCCATTAGAACGCCATTGGGATCCTCTTTGGGCTATCGAATGGAAATAAAAGGGAATTCGCGTGCGTCTTTTGTACACTCCAACCCGTAAAAAAAGAACGATAGAGATACAATTAAATGTATTGTAACCGTACATTAGAATTTATTGTACTTAAAATAAATTGTATTGTCCACAACGATAAAATAACCATAGAATTTACTTTTTTCCGCAATAGAATCTATGGTAAATGTTGAAATCTATAATGGAACGAGGGGGTTGTTATGTATCTTAACCGTACAAAAAATCACTTTTTCTCGAACAGATTTGAGTCATTTACCATTCATTTTATTGTTTTTCTATTGTTGAAAATTCATACTATATTGGACGTATTGTAAATCTATTGTAATAACTATATTTTAAATTTACTTGTATGATATACATACGATAAGACCGATTGTTGAAAATAGATTTTGTTGTGATTTTATGGTAATTTTATGGTTATTTTTTCTGGGTAAGAGCGGCTTTTGTTTTCGAGATCTTATTTTGCTTTCTTCAACATTTCGTTGAATAGAAACATCGTACTAAACTTTTTTGACACGTTCACGCCGAAATCATAGATATATTTGATGTTTTGTGCTCGATAGGCCGGTAATGGGCGATTAGGTCGATATAGATTTTGCCCCTATTTCGTAAAATTTACGATAACATTGATTTATCAACGAAACCCATTTTTACGAATCGAGCGAAAAATATTTTCAGTGCACCGGTATATTTAATGATCTTGTTCGGTCCTGAGTCCTCATAATGATCAAATATAATCATACAATTAGTTTAATTGTTTTTATAATGTTAAAACATTAAATTTCCATCAATGTTTGTTTAACCCCTAGCACCTGTTAATTTTCCCTGCAACTAAAAAAATATGTGAATTTTGGACCATTTTTGATGTTAAAAAAGAGTTAAATTTTATGATTAATGATTTATTAATGTTGCTTCCTAGTATGAGTTTAACTCACAGAATACTGGTATTAAAAGCAAAATACTTTATTTATTGATGAAAAACAATAACAATGATTAAGGTGTCCGTTTTATAGTACGTTTAAACGCTGTACAGACTGGAGAGTTATAACATGTTATAACGGTTGTCAAATAATTTCAACACAGAAACCACCATCAAGATAGCGCTATAACATGTTATAACTCTGTAGTCTGAACGTACTATTAGACTACAGAGTTATAACATGTTATAGCTCTATCTTGATGGTGGTTTCTGTGTTGCAATTAGTTGACAACCGTTATAACATGTTATAACTCTCCAGTCTGGATAGCGTTTTACTCCGATTTCTTCTATGGGTTTCTACACGGTAAGAAAAAAGTGACCAACGGCCAGTTCACTTTTACCTACTTTTGACTACACACTTAATCTAGCTCGGTAAAATCTCCAACAGCCGATTACTTCGGCAGTAAATTTTGCTGATATCTCTGCAAAATATCTGTTTGTTAGCTGATATCTCAGCAAAATGTTATTTGTTAGCTGAGTCTCGGCAATTGTTTGACTGAATCTCAGCAAAATAAATTGCAGAACTACTCGGCTGTTGGAATCTCGGCGAAAAAATTTAAGTGTGAGTTTGTCTCCTTTTCTCTAATTCTAATGTTGTCAAAAACGGAGGAGCAAATCCACCCAACAGGAGTAGTAAAGTCTGGGAACCCAACGCTGAGTATAATCATATTTACATACTGTTGGGTACAACTAACTTACTTTTGCTTAAAAAGCCAGTGGAAAATTCCATATGAACTACACACAAGTAAATGAAAACTACTTTGACCCATTTTACCTACTTTTGGGTTCCTGCACTATAGTAGAAATACTCAGAGGGAGAGATGGGCGGAGAGAATGTTTTGAGCCAATTGAACTGTCATAATCTAAGCCAATCGAACATTCCAATTAGAATTTTTCTTATGCATACTAGAATAAATTTAAGAGTATTGCAATCGAACAGAAATTTAATCACCTTTATGTTTTGTGTGCTTCTCAAATTCAACTAGTTTTTGGAATCAAAAACAATATTCTAACTCTATTGATTAATTGATCTTCGCCGGTCAACGAATGGCACCAAGAAATGTGCAAAATATTGCGATGCAATCAATTATTATGTTGCACCTAAATCGAATCAAAAATACAATTCATTTGAAATGCTAGCTGCTAGCAAGGGTTGCAAGATAATTTAGGAACAAATCCCTGCTGCCGAATTGTATTTTGTTTTCTCCGCCTATCTCTCCCTCTGACTATTTCTACACTATAGTGCCGAGATGAGTGAAATGAACTTAATTTTGGGTACTTTTTTTCTGACCGTGTAGTTGACTGAAGACAAGCTTTAGGCGGATTGGTTGTAATCTAGTTTAGTTACAATCAGAAATCTAAAGGTAAATTGTTGTCTCGTTGTTCCCCACTAAGCAGGAACAGTGAGACAAAGAGTATTCAACATTGAGACACATGTTTTAATATGGTTCAAAAAACTATTGTTCGACCACATCTTAAATGATATTTGAGAGGTCGTGTGGTTTATCGAGAATGGAAAAGATCATAAATTACATTCCACTTTCAGGGGGAGAAGTGAGGGGTGTTTGGAAACCGTGACGATCCATACAAAATTTAAAGTCCATACAAAAACGTGACAAAGGGGGCTTGAAAATGAGCCTTTTGGATGACGTAATAAATTTCCAATATAAATAATACTTTTTACCCTTCTAAAAAAAAGTATTCATGATATCATTGGCATGTCCCACTGTTCCCCACAGGTATGTTTTATGAAAAATAATAAAATAGTGGTATTAAACAATCAGTTTATAATATGTGTTTTGTTGTTGAAATTGACTTGAAATTGATTCCAACAAAATTTTGTCTGACCCTGCCTAAAACGATTTTGGCTAAATTATACAATAAAAAGCTAATATATTTTTAAAACTTCATCACATGATGAAGCTTGACAAACTTCACTTTCTAGGAAAATATCAAGAATTTTGTACACGTTTATGATCAAAATATTGCCGTTGACCTGCTATCTCAGCGTTGACTACTTTCCCCTACAAATGACGACATGACAAAGTTTTATCTCGTTTCATAAAATGCATTCGAAATCGATGCATATATTTTCATGTTTAGTTAATGAAACGGTCTGCCACGAATAGACTATAGATATGAATGGCTAACCTGTTTGCAAGTGCGGTTTGCGAGCATTAAATAGGTGTGAGTGAAAGTTTTATTTATGAAAAGCATTTTCCCGTGGTCCTCTGCAGCTTTGCACTATGAGTGCCTTGTTAACGTGAAGGAACAGCTGAAGCAAACAGTGTATTCTCCACGCATATCTTTATGGGCAGTGTTGAGCAACGATACGTCCAACTTTTACCCAGCACTTCTGGGTCGAAGTAGGAGAAAACAATTTAATTATTTGAATAATTTAATCATAAAACAAAACATCATCAGGTGCAACTTCGTTAAGGCGTGGGTCAGATTGCATAGTCCTGGCAAAGACAAGAAATTTAAAATTTTCGATGTTCATGACATTTGAGTATGATTTGAATTAACACTACTTACCTTTATGTTGAGTGACAGGAAGTACAATGCGTTAGATTCAGAAAAGAGTTCCGGAACACCAAACTGAACACTTGCGGGAAAGCGATATCAAACGACAATTGTATAATCAATTCACAACAGTTGCATCATCTGAAGAGAGGTATACTTATTAAATTTCTTATCGTTCTAAAACGCACATTTACATAGACACACTGAGATCCGTTCTATTCCGTTGTGGAAGGCGAAGATGATAATTACTTGTTCATAATTTACGGCAGATGATACCTATGAATTGTATATACAATTTATCCGGCAACACCTGTGGTGGGTGATGAGTTTACGATTAGCCTTTGGCAGGAGGGCAAAATTTATGAATATCAGATTACTCAAATCATTGTGCCTTGGGGCTATGATCAAGCTAAGAAACTGCAGTAAAGTTTCTTGTCTGATGTGGTTTTTATTAATAATAAATCACAAGAGCTTCCCAATCAAACCCAATTTCATCCAGTTTGAACAAATTTCAAATATGGTTGAAATCGATATAAGATGGAACAAATGATCTGAATAATACTCTACCGAGACGATTCGTCAAATCGCATTAACCCAACAATTCAGTCTTGCCAGCAAGTTCTTAGGAATGCCATAGATACGAGAGAGTTATATTTTTTCATTCTCTTGTAATCCATGTACCGAATTTCTTGAGCTATGCATTTTAGTCAAGGCAGAGCAACAATACCGACTGAGGAATTTATAGTTTGATGCTTATGCGTGTTACGCTGGAATAACTCGCACTATTTGATTCGTATGAGGAATGTCAGATACAATTATTGCTGCCTCGTGTATCCTTGTATGTATCCTATATATGTAATGTGAAGACGTTAGACATATACCTGTATGCCAACACAATAAATCTCGCTATTCAAGTTTTTAAAGTGTTTTAATGCTTTTGTGTATTTGAAAGAAACATAATGTGATGACAATACAATAAAAGGTATTGGTATCTTGTTAACGATTGTTTGTATGTTGGTCATTCACTTTATCATTTTATCAACTTTATTTATATTGTAGCGACCCCACATCTCAGCATCAATCCGAATAGGAAATCAATCAGATCAAATCCATAGTGGAGAGTGGACAGCAAAAGAAAAACAAATTAGTACAAAAGCATTTTTCGAAAATGCTTTACTAACGGGTGTTCAATAAAAAATGAGAATGATTTCAGTGCCGTCCAGCGCTCTTGTGAGAGCATCGCGATTAAGTTGCGTCGTACGGCTGACCAGGGCCCCTTCTCCAATATTTATTGACGTTTTTTTTTGAAGAATAAACATTGTGTTTTTAGTTAAAAATACTGAATTCGTTGAAAAAAAATTTTTTACTAGCTGAAAAAAATCTCATTTCTTATTGAACACCCGTTAGCAACCAAAAATATCCGTTTGTATTGTCCAGACACTCATGGTTCTACGAAAAATTGAAGAACACGAGATTTTTATCGATGGGCCCAATTTTTACATTCATTGGCCAACATTAAAGTCATTTCCCACATCTCAGTTAAAAAATCGAAATGGTGCGGTTTTCGTTTTTTTTCTTCTGAAGAATGTCGAAAAACACATTTTGCAGCAATGGTCGAGAATTGATCCCTTTATGATGACATGCTTTTTGTGTAAGGAAGATGGGGTATGCTTTTTTTAGAATTCTGTCAAGCCTCTGATGTGATATACACACCGTGTTCAATATATTCTCATACAAATTCAAACTGTATTTTTTTTTTCACATCAGTAATTCAGATTTGATTTGATAACTCAAAGGTAAAATAATATTGATCAATTACATAATATGTTTTGGGATTTTCCTGCTCAGACGTTTCTCAAATGCTTCATAAATGGGACGCACGGTTTTCATATTCGTTTGATTATGGCATTGAATTGGATCAAATTATATACACTGTGCTCGTTTACCTTTAGCATTTATGGCTACATGAAATACTCCAAGGGATTCAGGTTTGGTGCACTGGGAGGCAATTTAACTTTGGCCAAAAGTAGGTCAAATTATCTCTTGATCACTCGGCTCGTTCACATTTGCATATTCCTCCAGAAGCCATCACTGGAGCGGTATTTTGGAACTTTGGAATAGTTCAGTCACTTCCTGGTACATTTTCTGAGGTGGAAGACCACAATCTGCCGTTTTGAACATTATGAGACTGTTGCAGGGCAAACAACTTTTCATCGGACAGGTCAAACTCTTCCTTAGCGTGCGCTGATAGTAGAAGAATTGCTCTTTCGAGCCTTATTCTCTTCGTTCTCAGGTCATGTTTCAGGACATTGTGTAAGAACGATTTAGAGATATTAAGATAATCTCAGAAATAACTCGTTCTTCCTCACTGAACGTGCTCAGTCGAAGCTCTTCCGGTCATCGACCAAGGAAGTGTCATGGTACCTTCTGATGTTCCAATAGACAAAATCACGCTATTTTCAATTTTTTTTAATACTTTACAGAACGTTTTTATCACCGCGTTAGTTTTCTTCTTAAGTTCAATTAGTATAAACTACAGGAAAAATATTCAGCTAAGCTTCCGGTTGACCGAATTTGAATTCCCGAACCTTTCGTCGAAGACAACAAATCAAGAAGACTGGCAACTCTTCCATTTTCTCATACGAACGCTATGAGACAGGTACAATCGCGTCAGCTGCCGCTCAAAGGTAAATGCGGCCGAACGAATTTGATAGCAAAGATTACATCCTCAGAAGAAGGGTTTGTGTATTTGCTCATTTTCTATGCGTTGCTTCCACCTTCACTCAAGCGCAGCAGTTATCTTCGCTTTCGTTTAACTCCTGCTATCCAACACCTCGTCCACTTTGTTCGCCGTAGAAGGCCAGTTTGCCTTAAACTGCTTCTCACTTCCAACAGTTTTTTGGGTCTTCTTAAGCTTTCGCTTGACGATGGCCCAATATTATTCGATTGGGCGGAGCTCTGGCGTGTTGGAAGGGTCTTGTCCTTTGGCACCACCTGCACGTTGATGGCGGCATACCACTCCATGGCCTTTTTCCGTAATGGCAGGATGCCAAATCTGGCCAAAACAGCACGGAACAATCGTGTTGCTTCGGGAAAGGCAGCAGACGTTTTTCCAGACACTCGTTCACGTAAATTTCCTGGTTGACGGTCCCGGTTGCAATGAAAATTTCGCTGTTTTAAGCCACAGGTACAGAAAGGCTGCCAAACCAGATATTTCTTAGCGAACTTCGACAGTTTCATATGCTAGAAAATGCCTGCCACCTTTCTCCTTCCGGTTGCAGTATAAAACTACACGAAGCTGTTTGAAGTCTGTCTTGACGTAGGTTTCGTCGTACATTACCATGCAATCGAACTTTATCAGCATCGTCGTGTACAGCTTCCGGGATCGTGTTTTGACCGTCAAGTATGTTCAGTTTCCCCTACAGTTAATTAATGTTAACATTTCAATGGCAACAGGTAATAATCACTCAACTTTTATCCAATGCACTATGATCCAGGATGGGAACTTAGCAAAAAAGTAGTCCTAGTACTTTTGCTGTAATATTTAGACGATTGGTGACATCGGTGAAGTTTTTGTGCTTTAAAAATACCTTGTTTTGATGGTTTGAAACAATAGAGTGGTCCTTAAATTAATGGATATTCATAAAATAATTTTCCTATTTTTGAAAATAAAGGCATTGAGCTTGAGCAAAGCTGTAGCTGAGTTTATTTCAAGCATCTTTGTTGAAGATGTATAGATCAACCGGTAAACTAATGACCGATTCACGCCATTCTAAGAAAACTATAAAACCAATAAAAAACAAAAATTTTCATAGGTTTCCTATGACTGGCCGTTATTTTTTCGGTATTAGATCAAAAACAGTAAGAGACACTACTATAAAATTTTACAGTAAATGATAAGAAGTTTTCAGTCATGTAAAAAATCATAAGAAAAAATATCATTAGCCTGACAAGGGGTTTTTCTTGATTTCCATGCGATTTTCCTGCACTCATCGAAAACGTCACCAACATTTGTGATTTTTTGAAGAAAAGTCTGGCTCTAAAAGCAAGTGTCAAAACATTGAGTTTAATTTTACACGAGCTTCGAAAACCTAAAACGAAATTTTGTCCGCTCTAACATTTTTTTAAATTAGTTTATTTGTTAAGGCTCAAATATCCAAAAGGACTTAACGGAGCCGAAACCAATAAATAATTTTATAATTACAGTAAATTATTAATGAGGAACATTCTTACTCTTCCTGGAAGACTTGAGCTTAGCTTAGAATTTATAGGAAAATTGGCTCTAATGTTGGCCTATGGATCTAAGATTCGGTCCATCGCTAAAAATTTTATATTTATCAATTTTATCTAGATGAACGCGTCATAGAGACGGTACTTAAGGATATTTTTGGTCGCTATTGAAAATTTAGTCGATTGCTGAATTTATGTATGGGCCCAAATTAGGGGCATTTAGGTCGACATTACATCCATTTCCCCTATTTATTTTCAGTTGATCCGAAAATGAAAATAAAAATAAAATTTTACATTCTCTTTGAATATTTGCTTTGAGGAAGCGTTCATCTGTTTTTAATGTTCACAAATGCATGTCAACAGTATGATGTTGGCTATCCGCCCGTTAAAACAAGCAATCTTTTCTGTGTGGCTATGCTTCCAAGATACATAGATCAAATTACACGACAAATGTAATAATCAGGAACACAGTGAATCGTAAATAATCTTCCTTCAATCTCCTTTCCAGTCACAGTTTAGTACCCACTTATCTGTCTTCCTTCCTATTAGGTAGCAGATACCAGTGCGTATGAGACAATGTGACGTATGTCTGGGTGTGCTTTGCCTGCCAGGAATGAAGAACAAACAGAAGCTGAAGTGAGTAATATCTATTCCTCTACAAGAAGGTGGAGGGCGGAAAAGTTTCCCGTTAAACATGATAAAGAATATCCACTAGACTGAAAGTTTTCACCTCTTCCTTCCAATGCACCGATTATCTGAAAAAGGTAAGATATGCTATAAGAAAATTATGCAGCATTATTTGCCACCCCTGCAAATCAATGTAAGGGATGCGTATGCGGATTGAACTATCGGGAAAAAGAGATCAAGGAGCATCGATTGATTGGCAATAAAACGATGCAGCTTCAACAATT